GAGAGGAAGGAGGAGCGAGTGAGCAAGAATTTTTTTTTTTCGAATAATATTTGCCACTGCAAGCTCTTTATACAATCAATGGAATTGTACAAGAGAGAAAAACACCGGATATAACGTACATCACATACGCTAAAATGATGTTGTTTTCGTCATCATTCTGTTTGTGCTGTTGTTATTTTGTCGTCGATTATGACCTTTTCATAACCTTTACAAACAAACTTTATGATTTTTTCTTTAAGCCATTTTGCTTGCTTTTGTTCATCAAACAATCGTATACTACAATAATTGTTAATGTTCAATGCAATATCACATGCTAAATGAAAATTGATACAACAAATAACGAGAGAAAGGCAACAAAATCGCCTGATACCTCTATCACACATAAATAAAAAAAATGAACGAACACGACGGACGGTGTATGCGAGAAAAAGAGAAAGTGTACAGGAAAAAATGTAAGCTTGCAAAAGTTTTGCTCGTTATAAACCTTCTTGTGTATCGACTCAACTCGCAAACAATTATTGAGGGTTACGCTTTTTTTTATAGTTGCCTCGTAATGGCTTTGCCAACGTATTATTTTTTTTCACCGCCAAGGGAAATACGTATGTAAGCTGAATTGTGTGCGTAGCATCTTTATATTTATTTGACGCGTGTACCAAAAGTATTTTGGCTGATGTGTATATAATGCACACGCGCTCACGAGATATGAGATAAGCTTGCGTTGAATAATACAAAATGGTAACAGCACCAAACTTTCTTTTTTAACAAAGTGAAGAGAAACATTGAATGGCGGAAACGACGAAAAGTCATTGCGCTGCATTTGCTCTCTTTTATCTTGTTCACATTACTTTTTCGGATTCCCTGTTAAATTGACACTGACAACTAAGAAAACCTTTTGAAATTTGCCACTTCACTTTATATTGAGTCAATTAAGGCGAGAAAAAAATTGCTGGACATACACACTTTGAACATAATATCGCTCTGCATATGAATGCATGAACATTTAAGATAATTCTTTTAAACACTAAAACAAAAATAGCACTTGATTTGTCGCTTCTGTTGTGCATGAAAAATTATATTCGACTTGAAAAATGCTAGATGGTAGATGAACTTTCTCTTTCAGTGTCAAACCCAGTGTAGTTGTCGTAAAATGCATGTGAAAAAGTGTGCATCTTATCATAAGATACAGCAACTTTTTAAAATGTCACAGCGGAATTTTTCAAACAAAACATTGTATACAGTGGCAGTGACAATCGACTAACTGCGTTATCAGCTAGGAAGGGAAAAAAGTTCCAGAAAACGATGCGAATAAATTTAATTATCATATACATTTTTTCGAAGTTGTATCGCGAAAAGTCGTATATACAAAGCAAATGATGATATGACTTTTGTTCATACGCGAAATTTGACGACAACGCACATACTTGCAAACACTTTTATGATATGGTGTTTCAAGATGCAGAATAGAACGCAAAAAAAATGAAATTTCCCCCACAGTGACCGAATTTCATTCGATGTTTACTTTTATCTTGTTGCTGCTGAATTTCTTGCAAATCGCAACAAACAAAACCGAATACGACACACAAGTCAACTTTCATTGATGCACACTTTATTCGCCATTGAACTCTTAATATGAGTTGCGATCGAAACAAGCTTACTCTGATTCTGAAGAGTTTGTTATACGCGCTGCAAGCTACAATTTGGCCATACATGATAAGATACATGCACGAAATCATGCCATCGCTTGAAAATTCCTCCTTCTGGTTTCTTTTCTACTGTTTTCACTCCGTTGATTCACATTTATATTTCGTGTTTTCGGTCCATACATAAAATAAACATTTCCCAATGGACGTTAACCTACAAATCCCAAAATAACAATACAGCCATGTTGTTCTTCATTTTAGAAAGTAACGGACGCGTTCCACATTCCATGTATCAAGTATTTTCGGCATTGAGCATCTTTTGAATAGATTTTGTTTTCGATTTTTTTTTGTATGTGCCTGGATTTCTTATTCTTACATTCTATTTGAAACACGACTGAAGAAAAGCGAAAAACGAAAGAAAAAAAACTGAAAGCGTAAACGAAATACTCCATATTACACGTGCTCGATATAATTTTTTTTCATTGGCATCATTTCTATTGTGACCGTATTGTGATTGCAAAGAAGTTGTCAAGAAGTCTCATGTGCATTTACAAATCATATTCGTTTCTTAATTCATCTGAGATTAAATTAGGCTACTACTCAAAATGAAATCAATCTATGGAAAAACATGCGCACATTGTAGTTCGCAGCACCAATTCCGGACATCGGCCAAAAGCATTTTACAGTAATTATGGTGGTTAAATTGTGTCCAAATCGGTAAAAATAAAAACATAAGTTGATTCATTCAAATATCATTTTCTTGCTCTTCGTTCAATGTCCAATTCAGTGTAAGAATTTCAAGTGTACGTGTGTTTGCGGTAACATCGATGCTGATGCGAACTCACAAACGGCGAAAAGTTATGTGAAAACAACGAACAACCTACAACAAAATCAAACGAATCAGCAGCAATTCAATTTCCATTTTATAAATGATTTAATCATTTCACCTGAAACTGTCACTTGCACGTTTGCGTTACCGCTCTAACTTTGACTTTGGCTCGAACATTTTCTTATAATTGTAAATGGTATTATACTATATGTACCCGTTGTACATTTGACAATGGAGAACCGAACCGAATGAAAAAGGATATGTACGAAGAAGAAGAAGAAAAAAAAATCAGACAATTCAGGTGTGAGTTTGAAACTGAATTTTCAATTAATTTGCAATGATTATGCGATCACGGCGGGTACTTAGATATGTCTATGTACGAGTTTGTCGCCATTCATATTCGGTTCATATGTGTTGCGATTCCATATTCGGATGGCAGAGAGAGAGAGAGAGAGCGAAAGAGATTTACCAAATTAATTCTGCCCAAAATCAGTTCGTCGTTCGTTCACTGCACTGAGTGACAGCTGAACGCGATTCGCGAATTGTGTCGCGGCGAATGCGGGTAATGAAAAATGATTTATTTCAATCATCGCATCGTGAATTTGAGAAAAAGATGTGTGTGTGTCTTTTTTTTGTTCGCATTTCGCACGGATTCAATAAAATTTACACATATACAAGACGTGCGAATATAATTTGCGTAGCATTTCGTTGTGTTATAATTTTCTAGCATAGACACCGGGATTTTGTCGGTTGTCGGTTCGATTGTGGTTGTTATGTTTTGCGTTTCAGCATATTTTAGCATATTTGCATAATCTACGGCAAATTAACGGCACGCTAAATTTCACCTTGTCGTATGGTTCGTTTCATGTCTACGCTGTTTAAAATGATTCATTTTTACTCGAATTGTTCATACATGTTGAACTGCAACATCAGCCAAAGAACAATCGAGTGCTAGCTTGCTAGCTTTATGATGCCACACACACCACCATATTATGATTCATCTTATAGTTAAGACATTTGTTGTGTCATATCACATTGGAGCGAAGAGCTTTTTTTACGCTTATAACAAATGAATAAAACAAAACAACAAAATGAAACGACGAAAAGAAACAGACATTAACAGTATCCTTTTCAATTTATTCACTTTTAGTATGGTGTTGGCGCCATCATCCACAATACCATACACATTGAATAAACGCAACAATTGGAATATGCCTTTCATTTGCATAATATTCAGTTGCCGTTGGAATTTTTGTTTCATTTTTTTTATGTTTGCGTGTGTATTTTTGTGAACAAGACTTTTCAATTTTCGAATTTGAATCTTTTTTTTTGGGCCCATGTACTGACTTAGAATGCATTCAATGCGCGCATCACATAAACTGCATAAATCAGCAACGAATTTAATTTGAACACTGTGTTTTGGTGGTGTGAGTCTCGAAGAATGCCAAAAACTTTGAGAAAGATTCGGATATAATACGAAGAAGATCTTGCCTTCGGGCAAAGGACAAATAAATGTCTCTCATACTTTATTTGATTCACTGAATTTAAATTTTACTCAAACTTTCTGACTGTGTCTGCTGTGTGTTTTGTGTGATTTTCAGTGATTGTTTTTTTTTTTGTTTGGTAGATATGTATATCTGTTGTGAGTTGAGCGCTCAGCCTGCTAAGTTTGCATGTATATGTGCGCAAGTGTGTTATAAACAGTGAGTGTGTGGAAGCAACAATGTTCGAATTCAACGCAGAAAATATACCCAACAAAAATATAATCAATGCCATTTTGGATGCTTCAACATTTTAATTGCTTTACCATGATATCATCCAAACGAGGGTAGCGGTGGTGGCAGCGGCGGCTCATAAACACTACGCCTGCTACTGTTCTGCTATAGACTTTTAACAAAAACTATGCACAGCAATGGTGCTTAGTCCATATTCAATTGCTGTTTCTGTAGTTTTGTCATGTTTCAACATTTTTGTTGTGTATGTTTTATGTAAATATATCGCAATGAACGCTCATATCAACTCTACTCGACATTACAGGGATGGCAAATGGAATTTATTTTAATGTAAAATAATCCAGTATCTACACAAAACTTAAAACACGGGAATTTTTCATATTTGCACAATGTTCATACGCACATTGTCCATTTGTCCCTATATTCCTATCCTCATTTCTCTCTATCTCTATTTCTTAACGAACAATAAAGTGTAGAAAGTCTATTTTTTATGCTGATGCTGTCACTATATCCATCTCGTATATCATATTTGCATATGTAAAAAGGAAGCATACGCTTCCGCACAGCGCACGCTGGCACACCATTTTGCATGACTGAAAAAAACGAAAATTAATTCAGCCCCCATAGATAAATCGACCATGCATGCGTTTTGCGTATGGATTGATATGAATCTTAAGTTCAGCCGAAAATTCAATTTTGAACGATGTACGTTTTACCGAATAGTTCTTAATTATGCAAATACAACCGTAAAATATTTCGTGTTTAAAATTCTTTTGTTAAACGATAAACGATACTTACCCAATATTTCAACCGTATGAGTTATTTCGCGTGGTTCAAGCGTTGCAATTTGGCAAACATAGTCACCGGCATCCTGTGGTACAGCGTTTTTAATTTGCAGTGAATAACCATTAACAAGATGCACACGTGGATCGGGTGTAACTTTCACACTTCCAGCTGATAGAATAGCGATGCCACGTTTCCATGCCACGACATAGTTATCTGTTGAAAAAAAAAAAAAAAGAAAAAACCACATGCAGTGAATACTGAATACATTTCAAGAAACTATGAAAATTGAATTATTAAAATGTGTTTGTGATCAAAATTGTAATGGGTAATGTTGTTAACGCGGAAAAACAATTTCAAGCCGATTGAATGCAACGAAAATTCGTGTCTTTCGTCGTTGTCATTTTTTATTGCCATTGTCGCATCATTTGTCACTTTGCCTTTGCTCGCACACACATGCAATAGAAAGAGCGATGCATTTCATGAACTCGAATTAAAAGATGTCTGATATTTATTTAAATTTCAATGGAATTTTCGCCATTTAAACATTCTGCAAAACAATTTTCACCAATTTGAATCATCTATACAACACCCAAATGGAAAGGAGTGAGAGAAAAAAAGGACGAAGAATGTTCACTTGGTAGAAGAAAAACCAAATACGGAATAGTGAATACGAACAAAAATGTTAAAATGCACGTAATAAAAACAGAAGAAAAGATGAACGAATTGGCGCATACACGCTGCTTAAAGAATCAACGCCCGAAACTTTTCTTCAATGTTTGAATGTTATGAATTTTGTGTGATTTAACAAATAGAATGAAAGAGAGAGAGAGAGATTCATTATGAGATGTATGCATACGCGCGCGACACAAAACGATAAAAACGTGAAGTGCATGAAACGAGACAAGTCGAGACAATTTAATGGTTTACCTATTTTAAACCATTGTGTTTGCTAACAACGAAAATAATTTAAATATCAAGATATGAAAATTTGAATTTTTGAATGTACACACAAACTATGCACCCAAAGCAAACACACACACACTGTTTGACGGGGTGAAGTGATTTCGTTCATCCTTTTAAGCCATCGAGCATATGTTTGGCGGAGCGAATACAGTCTGTGTGTGTGGCATGCGTGGGTAGATGACTGGCACTGGCAACAAGAGAAAGAGAACACTTCCAAGAGATAGAGTCAGAGTCACAGTTGATGCTGAAGCATTGACGGTGCAAAAAAAAGTTGAATGTATGTATTTCGAATGCAATTCGTACGAATTTATGTGCCTCATACTTTATGCCACTTCTTCGCTGTTTTGTTTTTAACGTACACTTTTCATTGCAATCGTTTTGACATGAATACATTCACAACTTATTATCTTATTCTTGATTCTATTTGTGTGACAAACTCTCGTGGAAAATAACCGTTTTTTTTCGTCGTATTCCTCTCTCCTTTTCTTTTCATTGCTTTCGCTCAGTTTTGCGTAACACACACACACAACCGACAGAAACTAGGCGAAAGCAAATGAACACAAACAGAAAATTGCATATATGAAAAAGAGTATACTTTAGCGAATAAATCCTTTTTAAAAGAAATGCTCTGTGTAAAGCACTTGAATAAAAATTGAATTGACAAACTAAATAAGCTTTGGTTTCACTCCACCTCCTTCTTCTGTTTTTCTTTTTTTTGGTTCTCTCTTTCACTATCTATGCATTTCATTCAGTCTTATCTTCTGGCGTATTTGCTGAGTAGTAATGGCATCGGCAGCAGCTAGATAGTCAGTGATGCGCTTAAAAAATGTTGATGTAACTGATGAGCGAGCGATTTTCAAGTACATATACTACATATATTGAATGTATAATAAGAGAAACGCAGATTTGATTTTGACATTTTCAGTGTCGCCAAAATGCAAACACTCGTGATCAAAGCCAATTTCCAGCATTTTCCATCCAGCTCTTTTATTTTGTTGATGCATTCACGTCGCAATCGTTTTTCGTGTTGTTCTATATATCAATTTTGTGTTATACATTCATTTGTATATATGTATAGTTAAGGCTCGCTTGTTCTACTAGCTACCAAAATGAATATATAAATAAAAGAGAGCTCAAGTGCATCGCGAACTGTATAAATAAAATGTCACGTTCTTGATGTGAAAATGCTCAATAAAATGAAAAGGGAAAACAAGAAATTCCAACTATGGATTATGCTAATGCATTAGACTTCTCTGTGATAGAAAGCTAGTCGACTGCTCGACATATGTATGGGTGTTTGGGTGTGTGTGTCTGTTTGGATATTCGTTCTTCAAGAATCCCGACATACTTGTACTTTTCTTTTAGTTGCATTTGATTTCCCATTGTACACTTGACAAATGCTCGAATGTATTGTATTATCCTTGGCTTATTCTCGTTCCATCCTGATTTCATTTGTCATTTGACATGAAATGTTGTTTATCTCTCTATATATGTATGCAGAAAAATAAACTCCGTTGAAAACGATATATACATATATGTATGTCATCGGTAATATGTTCGCGTTATAAATCTGATAAAAATCGACTAATTCATTGTTGTCGAACACAACAACTGCACTGCAATTACTTGCTGCGTTCAATATGCTGTGAATTTCTCATTTTCAGTGATGCCATTCAACAAATAATTTTCGAAGAATTTCGAACTGATTGCATAAAACGGTTTTGGTATGGGATTTCGCATGGGAAATGTCGTGTTTTCTCAACTTTAAAGACAGTTCAATCAAATAAAAAAACGGAAAATACCGCATGTTAATGTGATCGTACACAATTGAATTTCATCACAACGAAGAAAAAGATATATCGCATTTACCATTCGTTTTCATTTTGCACGTGCTTCACCTTCGTCGAATTGTGGAATTTCGGTTTTTTTTTTCTTCATCGTTTGATTTTTTCTAACAGCAATATCGGGCACAAAAATCTCAAACAACCTATAAATTCTGCATTTCCTGCAACGCTGTTCTAGTTTATTAACTGAAAAAATCGCTGTCGGTGAATACTATACTTTTATTACATAAATAATTCATGTTGGCTCATTCGTTCGTTTGTTTAAAAGTTACCTACGCTCATGCACGATTTACCTCTACCCCACTCATCATCATCAGCATCATCGTTGTCATCATTTTCGTCTTCGTCGTCGTTGATTCAATGTTCATGTTCACATTTACCAAATGATTGTTTGAATTCAAGTTTCTCATTGTTTTTCTCTTAGCTAAACCCACTTGTCATTCAATATTGTCCCTTTCCACTCAGTCCGCGCCATTAAAATGATCGAATTTCATTTGATCGGTGCTTTGTTTCGCATTCAATTCAGAAATATATAGATGGTCGACTATAGCGAATACTGGTGGTTACTTTGGGATCGCACACATTTGTATGTGAACTGGATGTGAATATAAAGTATACATTGTGGCATTGATTTCATTTCAATTTGATTGACAGTTTACGTTCCAATACATGGCCAAGAATGATAATGAATTTTGAACAGCGGGTAGATGATTGTAAACCATTGGTTTGTTCTCTATATTTTTCACAGTCAATTGCATAGAAATATGGTTAAAATAAACGTCCGCAGAGATTTTCTCTGTTTGACAGTTGGCAACTTTTTGAGTGAATAAATAAACGAAAAGTTGATTTCAATTGTATTCGATCGAAGAGAGTGCTTAAAATAACCGAAAACAAGGATTTAGTGATGGTTCAACGAGATGTTTCCACAGGTAGTTTGATGAAATTGCATCTATTATGTACAGAATATACAATCACTTTTATTGCACTTTGTAATCAGTTTCCACAACAACAACAACAACAACGACGACGACGACGACGACTTCGACCAATAAGTTGATTTATTATGTAAGTATATTCCTTGATGATGATGATGATATTATGGCTTTCAATGTGATGTAAGGTAGCTAGTTGCGCATACTACAATGTGAAAGATAAAAAAAAATTGTCGAAACAAAAGCGAAGCATCAAACTCTTCGCAAATGAAGAAACTTCAAGTTGAGTAACGCACAAACTTCTCGTTTCATTTATATTGCCATCTTGTACTCTTTGTTCTCACAAGTATTCTCAACTTTGTCGATTGATCTGGGAATTAAGTGAATTTTCCGGGTTGTAATTGATTTAAAGGAAAACTTTTGTGTAGCAAAACTCAAATCAAATTACAAATAACTATGATATTTTGATTTTATCCTAATAAAATTCCCATACACAATCACTTACGGCGGGATAAAATGATTCTTCAAGACAAGAACAGCAAAGCGTGCATTAAATGAAACAAAACAATGAGAAATTGAGCAGCAAAAATCATTGATTGAATATCATAATATGGTATCATAACATGAGTCAACTGATTTGCACAATGACGGAAAATGCGAACAAAGACGATTTCCAGCCGATGGCAGCAAAAAAATACCGTACACACATTCATATCGTATTTATGATTCATGTACATGATACACGACATCTTGAATAATGGAATATTCAAATTGAATTGAATTTTATTCGCGTTTAAGACGAATGAATATTCAATATATTCAATGAGCAAATTATCAGGCCATTTATGTGAAAAGCCAAGAACATGTCGATTCCTGTGATTGTTTGTCTACCTACTTCTATTGTTTTGGTTCTTCTCGTTTCTTTTAAAAATAGTTCGATATGCGCGGCGATGTTTCTTTTACATTTGATCCAAGTCAGTTCAACTGAATATTCAAATCGATGGAAAATATTTCGATGAATTTTCTAATTATAGTGTGTATTGTCTAGTCAGATATTCTTTCGTGTGGAAAATTACTTGTAACTTGAATTTCAACCTAATTAAATGATGCCATGAACGTTCGTGTGTGTATTATTTTCTATTTGGAACGGTGTGCTATTACGACAAAATGCTACAGGATATGCTATATATACATCCAATCGAGAATCGGATGTCAAATGAAAACGACCTTTTTTTAGTTCCAAACAACCGAATAATTTTTGTAATTAATCAATGAAATTGTTTGGATTATATATTTAGTAAAAGTGAATGTAAGTCTATATAGATAGTATTACCTGCATTTGAGACTTCGCATGGCAAATGAATTGTTTCGCCGGATACAAATTTGAATGTTTCCGATCTGGTGACAAACATCGGTTCATGTTTTATCATATTCTGCGTTGCCGCCAAACCTATATATCATGTAAATCAGTCGATGTGATGATGTCCATTTCGATTGGGATGAGAATGAAGATAAAAGGAGAGAAAATAAAATCAATTAGAAATCGAAAATTGAATAAATATCGCATAAATATCGATTTCAACAAAAGGAATCTCTCGTAACCAATATTCGCATCATGTACGAATGATATTCATCTATTTGCACATTTTTAATACCATCATTTTAAATGTATGAAATGAGGCAAGTGCGCAGTAAACGATTATAATAATAATTATATCGTAATGCATAAATTAATTTCGTTGATTTTTTTTTTCTTCGTTTGTTCTGCTGGTATTTGGTATGTTTTGGTATGCCTAAATGTGATGTGCCAAATAAATTGGAAATACTTATAGTTATATAGTGTTTATAAAAATTTATTAGAATTATGCTAATGAATTTATAAATAAAAAGTGCGTTTGGTCGGATGGGTTGGGGTGTAAATGTGTATTGCGGCTACCATCCCCATTGCACCAAATCGATTTTAGCGTAACTTGAAAACATGTTGGGAAACTTTCATAAGCATGAAATGTTCGCACGTATGAATATTGCGTAAAATGTATTTTATTATGTGTATGTGAAATAATTTATGTGATTTTCATTAAGCAATGGCGTGCACCACCATCTCAGTGCATTGCACCGTATCTAATGGCATTTATAATCAAACTAATTTCCTTCATAGCCAAAAATGCCATCAACTCACATGGCTTGTGTTCACCTTTTTTTATATCGCATTTGAACGCAGCGGTCCCTGTGCGCACTCTTTACATTCATTTTCATGTGCATTGCATACACATTTAAATACCTCGTCTTTCACAGCACACAAAAAAAACAATATTACATACACACACATTCATACGCACATATGCAACAACAACAACAACAAATTATGAATATAATTCAGTGCATGGAGACGAGCAAGTGTGAACATTTCAATGTGTTTGTATATAGAATTGGCGAAAGGATCGTATGCGATAATAACAAAATTAAAGCGTATTCAAAATGCTGGTATGGAATGCACGATGCCATCGCGTGAAATATTGACATATGTATGTACCATGTGCAGTGTGTGTTTCACTCACTCTTTCTTTCTCTCTTTTTCTCTATCTGACTCGCTCAATCTCTCTTTGGTACGTGCATTTACTATGTATGCAATTCCCTTTTCCGTATTTCGAAAAATAATGAATATTAAAAGGTTCGAATAAAACAAATACTTTATACAATTTCGCTGCCGTTGCATATACGATCTTGATGCATGTTTTCTACATTTCACTACAAAACTACATGGCACACTATAACACAAAAACATTTTCTCGCTTAAGTTGTGTGCAACACGTAAATATTAAGGGAAAGTGGGGTAAAGTGATAAGGGTTTTTGTGCACATCCATA